TGAATCAGTGGAAATTGTTGTTTTTGCAGCACAGACAAAACCAGATTTAAATCCTGCAGATGGAGGGGGGACTGACTGGGGGAACAAAGTGGGTAACCTCATGGATGAAGGTATGGATCAAGGAATGAGTAGCAAGAGGATGTTGCAAAAGGTCAGACAAGGCAGACACCTGACCTTTGATAGTAACAAGGGCACAGGTTTGCTCCACTCCCAATTGAAGGAAGGAAAATGCATGTGGGGACATCCCTACAGATTCCCACCAGTGCAAAAAGGTCTTCTGATAATAAACCTTGAAATATATGTGGCATAACATATTTTGAGCATAGTAAGGAAAGCTACATTTGAAATGCCCCTGTCTTTCAGGACCTGGGCTTCAGCATCCTGCTGTCAAAGCCAGCATACATAAAGCAGGATGGCAGATAGGTCCCTGACACAATAGATCTGTCTGATTTGACAGAGGTCATGCAGCACTGGATAACAGGCAAACAAGGTTGGCATACCATTTACTCTAAGGCCAGTTTTGGAGCTATGAGAATGACTAGGATGCCCCTAAATACTATTCTCCATTGAAACTAAAGTAAACTTCAATAGAGGAAAGACATATCAGGACATGCTGATTCCACAGCACCACCAGAGCATCCACCACCTCGGCAATCAAATCCCAAGTCCAGGAGACAAATCTGTCCAACTTTTGGCTGAACCAAGTTGCCAGCTGATCCACATCCAGCATTCCCCTCAGTAGACATTTGTCCTGGAACACTTAAGGACAGAGAGACCTTTCTACCAGATCCAAACATTGTCTGCTGAGAACATCTCCTTGTTATTTATCTATGCCAGTAATGCACCTCAAACATAACTATACATGACGTTCTTCCCAGGATAGAATAAACTCTACCTACATTGCCACCTCAACAATTCTAGTGTGTCTGCAACTGAATAAAACCTTTCCCTGACGACTTATTAAATATGTCTTTGTTTAGAGAGAAAATCTGTCTCATCTTCAGTAATAAATCTGTTGCAGACCTTGCAAATCTGCTGCAGTTAACTCTTCAGGAATTCAGAAGCACGGTTCATAAATACACTGTAATCCTGTCACAGAGACTTTGTAAGTGAGAAGCAGCCTGGTTTGCATCTAATTGCTAATTTACTAAAAACATATGCCCGATAATAGTCGTTTCTTGATAAGCATACAAATAAGGTGCAATAGATTGTAAAAAACTAAAAACTGTAATTTATATATGAAGAATATTAGTAAAAAGAAGTGCTAATATTACTAATAATTAAGCTCATGTTTTTTTTGTTTTTTTTTTGTTTTTTTTACCTCTACATAGGGGTTTTGTCTGCTTTTTTAACAAAATATAAAATGAGTGTGGTCTATATTATTGCATTGTTTTAAACATAATAACTGGTAATCTCATTCAGTACAAAGTATATACAAGGATAAATATAAGCACATTGTGATGAATGTTGTGGTTATTAGTACATGAATTATAAATACTGTAAACATTATTATTACTAATCATGATGATACAAAAATATTAATTGCGTGATTAATTGCGGATATGGTGTGTTTTCATTGAGAATAGCCAATATTTTTGTTCAGTTCTTTATTACTTATGTTTATGACATACACATGGTTATTGATTTGAAGTGTGGCTTCTTTCTTATGTTTAATATTTGCGTGTGGCTGTGGTGAGCTGAGAGTCAGCACTCAAGATTGAGCAGCTGTGGGGATGATTATCTGGAGCAGAGATAGAGTAGATGTGATCACAGGACGCTCATGTGATGTGTCTGCTCTATATTTCTTAATTCCTCTTGAATTAGGTCTTGAAGCTTTATGTTGTCATAATAATAATTATGTTGGATAAATATAGTCAACATAATAAAGACATACATTTTTTTTTACTGTTGAAGGCACTTCCTTTTAACCCATAACAATTTTTTTGTTTGATGGCAGATACTACCTTCAGAGAGTTGTAGCTGCAATGGCATTAAGTGTGTACCCACAAATGCAAGCTTTTATATGGGTTGGTGGGAAGAGCACCCCATCTTTGGAGGTGGAAGCCCTTTTGGATCTTTTCAGTATATGTACTATAGATAAATAGATGACTGTTCTTTGATGTTGATAAGGAATTTGAATATACAATAGTTTTTGACCTATTTGAATAAGAACAGTTATAACCTAACATTTATGTTTGAAGAATATAATGCTTTTATTATCTAGACCTGAGGAAACAGGAAGATTCTACACGATATAGCCTTACTGATACATACAGGAAGCCAATTTCCAAAAATTCTATTTTTCATGCTAAACGTTGCCATCCACAGTCAAAGTTATAACTGGGGGGAATATATTAGATTGTGATTTTGATATGTTAGATTTAAATAGACAGGTTTTAACAATAACATAACAGAAGAAGGTGAATTGCCAGTATACCAGGGATTTGTTTAATACAAACACGTGGTTATTGATTTGGAGTGTGGATTCTTTCTTCTGCCCAATTTTTCCTGTGTGCTGCTGAGACAAGCTCCTGAGATTAAGTGGCTGTGGGGACAATTACCTGGAGGGGAGCGGGCAGCCGTTTTCCTATACCTGGTTTTACTATCTGACCTAATATACTGTAAATATTAAAGACAGGAGCTAAGACTTTTCAAGTGAATTTAGGGTTAAGATGAGAACCCTGTGACCTTTACTCAGTATCGATAGCAGCTCCAATATTTCTATCTTCAAAGGGGAGCATTAAAAATAGTGTAAAATAATCCTTCTTTGCAATACATTCAAAAAGACAACAGGAAATGTAGGATACCATACAATCTTAAAGTTACAATAAATAATACATATTTGCAGTTTCAGTGCATAATTAAAGAAAACAATCATTTTAGATTATATTAGCTTAACTGCTCCCCCTTGTCCTGCCCATGCTGTGTATAGGTCCCACTATAGAGCTCAAATCCGCATGCAACCTTTTAGAAGGGTGGATCTTTATAACTTTGCTGAGCCAGTTGGTTATGATATGCTGCACGTGTGACCTTTTCCCAAAAACCTTTAATAAGATGCCATTCATTTGCAAGCCTGCCACTAGCCTCCTAGCAGATGATGTCCCCATCAGGGCCTAGTGAGAAAAGGCTGCTCATGCACAGTACAGTAAAATCTGCTTGTTCAGTAGAGAAGATGGCTGAGTGACCTGACATGGGGCAGGATACAGCCCATACAGCAGGCTGCCCACTGATCTAAAGTCTGTGATGTAAACTATAAATGTAATTGGGTGAATGGGAAGTTAGGCTAATATTTTAGAAACATGCTATCTTTTCAAGTGAAACTCTAACACGATTAAAATAATTAAGATTTCCAAACAAACACAAAGAAGACCACAAAAAGTTTGTGAAAATGCCTTCACTTATCTTCATGATCATCCCAGCAGCCCCAGAATCCCAGAATCTCAGTATGTAAATCTAAACTTTCAACTCTGAGCTGGGGAGCTATTATTAAAGTGCAACTAGAGGCTCTTGTATTGTTATGTAAACAAGCACCAAATCCAGTTACTATGTAATGCACAAGCCTCATTTGTGCTTCATTTGTGCTTCACACACTCCTTCCAGACACTGCAGCCTACAATGGGAGGGTTTCAGCAACAGAGGCGTGGCCAGGTGTGCAGTGCAACATTTTCTCATACCAATGTAGTGCAAGCAGGCACAGCTTTCATAAGAGTAGCAACTCTGCTCTGAATTCAGCATCATTGCCACTCCATCACAGGAAGCTGCCTTAGGTGGACATCACTAGAAGACTGAACAAGTATTTGTGGGACTTTGCAGGGGGATAATGAGAAAACTGTAAGTACAAATTTTCTTATAGTTAAGTGCTGCAGCACATATTTCATTAAAAGAAGACCATAATTCTACTTTACTATACTGGGCTCGGGGGGTTCTGGTACACTGATGAAAACATAAACATTATATACAAGCACCCATTTGCTGTCTTTTCATTTGGTCCTTTTCATTGTTATGCTTTGACTGTTGGTAATGTGCACTTTCTTTACAATTGTTGTATAGTATAGTAGAATAAAATATACAAATTGTGTGTGGGTGTGTGTGTCTTATGCATTGTTTTATTTATGTGACAGTATACATTTTTAATTGTGCTTACTTCACTTCCATGTGCACCCATGGAAACGGTCGACATAATTGCTGGCATTTTGCAAACCATCATTAGAAAACATGATAGCTGTTGGTAACTGGGTGCAACCCCACTTTCCATTGCACTGGTTTTCATAAATTAGCCTCGTGGTGATTAAATATACTGAAAATACATTCCTGAAATGAATACAACATTAAAAACTGTATGTCAAACCTCATGTGCAATACTATCCAACATAGTATTCACATATTTTTTTGAATAGTCATTCCTTGCTGTTTTTCTAGACCAAGCAATATTTTAACCCTTGTTTAACTTTAATTGTGTTTCTTTGTTAGAAGAATATGACAAAAAGATATTGAAGTAAATGTAAACAAGATTTCTTTGAAGGAAGGTTGCCTCATACACATTCTTGAAAATAGCCATACAAGACTGACTGACACCTGCTATGCAGGTATATCCTTAATTATTAGCAGATCGCAATGACACATAACAGGCAACTCTTTGAAATTAAAGTCCAGAGAATGCTTCATTATATGCGATAGCAGAGTGGTCTCACTGGCCTTATGTGTCTCTCTGCATAGCACAACAGGGAGCATAAGCATGGTTTTCTCCTTTTTCATGCTAAAATGTGATTCTTTCAAAAAAATTTGTAGAAAAAAAAAAGCCTATTGAAATGTGTTAAACAACATACAGTAACCACTATGATAATGGTGTGTAAAAATCTCTTCAAATGTTGATAGCTGATTGCATTTATCACTTAAAATACATCTGAGACTGGTGCAAATTGTATGTAAAGTTTCCGCTAGATAGAACCTTTTACTGTTCTTATGCTGTCCTGTTTGTGCTGTTTGAAGAATATGCATTTTCATATATCCCATGCTGGTATGCTGACAGTATTATTAGAGCTTTTATTTTCCAATTCTTCAACCACCAATCCATGATGAGCAATTCTTCCACTTCTTAATGAGAATATACCAGCTTTGGCAGTGGCACTGTTGCAGGAGTCTGAACCTTGAGCTGAATCGCTGGGTTGTACTTCCACGAAGATCCGGTTACGTACTCCAAATACAAACCCACTGTTATTTCTCTCTGAATATGTTTCCTTATGCTCTCGTTTAATTGAGCAGAACTGTACTTTGAAGGCTTCCTGAAAACCCCGTCGGAAATTCTCATTAAAATAACCATAGATGATAGGATTGACACTACTGTTAAAGAAGGCTAACCAGTGGGCAAACGGAAAAATATACACAGCAATAATGTTCAACTGAAAATCACTTAGATTTCCATAATCTGTAAGCAGCATAAGGGTCCAGAGGGGGAGCCAAGACAACGTGAAGAACAATGCAACCATGATCAGCATGTTTATTACCCTTACTTTCCTTTTGGAAACTCTCCGACCTTCATGTTCTTCAGACACAGATCCTCGAATAGGGGCAGAAGACTTAAAGAGTTTGAATGCTATGCGAGCATACATGATAACAATCAAGGTGAGAGGAGCTAAGTAAATATGGGAAAAGAGAACAGTTGTGTATATTTTACGCATTTCCTTGTCTGGCCAAGCTTCCCAGCATGAGTAGAGAGGGTAGAAGTTATTGTAGTCATCTACCATAAAATGGTAGTCATCCCTGGTCACAGTAAGAGTGACTGCTGATGGGCACATTATAATCAGAGCTAGAACCCAAATAACAATAATGGTGAATATGGCTTTTCGTAGAGTGAGCTTCTGTCTGAATGGATAGACAATGCATCGGAACCTGTTAAGGAAAAAACACAAAAACAAAAGTAATAGACGTTACTTCTTGCAGCTAACTTGGTAAATGAAAATCATATACAAATTTCAAGTACCAGCAAAAAAAAAGTAGCTTTTGACATTCACCAAATATTATAATTAAGGAATTATATGAAATACAAATAATAAATAATAAAAAAAAGTATTGGGAATAAAGGTGTGTAAAATATTATTTCAATTATGGATATATATGGTTCAGGTATTATTTCAGGAATGAGCTTTTACATAGGAACTGAACTCTGGAAGCTGTGTTGAAAAAAAAAAGGTAGGCAAAGGGCAAAGCACTAGTCACCAGTATTGCCTGTGGATTCTCTGCAGCTGATCTTCTCTCCATTATTGATATGCCATGCCTTGTTCTACATTGTGTCTCTGTGGATCTTGGTAGAGGCAGAGTTTTTCTTTGCATGTTAGTGCCTCCATTAAGGAGAACAGTGATTAGCACAGTAGTGGTACCACCAAATCTCACTCCAAATTTCACAGGAACAGCAGTGCCCTAGATCAGCCTCTCTCAGCCAGGGTGCCATGCGGACCCTGGAGTAACTTCTGGCTTCCTCAGGGGTGCCTCAAAATTTTCACACAGCATCATGCCTTTCCATGTTCTAGGTGGGCTGGCTGTCAACACCATTAAAAAAATGAGGCTAATTCAGGGAGGGTGGGAACTATTCAGAAAAGGACAGAAGTTCACCTCAGATAATGCCTGGTACATTTTTCAGGGTAGTGCTTAAGCAAAATTTACTTTTTGTGAAATTATATTTTTTTAAAAAGCAGACTTTAACTTTTTAAATTAAGTTTTGCTTTCGATGTATAATCACTTGTTGCATGCCATGCATAACAATTTTTACCTTGTTAACTAAAATATTTCTATCAATATTACAAAGCAGCATGGATTTGCTCATGTTGTTTACTTTCAGAAAGGCCAATATACTTGTAATTAGGGGACCCAGAAAACATATAACTTCAGTATGTCAATTTCCAGTGAAATAGCTCTACTTTATTTTTATTGTGCACAAATAGGTTGTTTTAGATCTTTTTTCAAGGCTCACCTGGTGTATGACAAATGGCCAGTGGTTATAGCTGACCAGAGAAAGAACAATCTGATCAAAATTAGGCAACTATGCCAGCAACTTCAAAGCATAGTCTCACAGATATACAGTTTATGTTTGGGTCTATAGATGGATATAGGGATGCAGACTACAAAAATCTCTGACACTGGCTTATCAGGAGGAAAACAATAGATAGCAGGCAAGAGGGGATATGCAAAAATGACACACAAAAATTATATTATATTTGTTTTGAAAGAAAAAAGGATCATGAAATAAAAAAACAAAATTTAGTTAAAATAGCTCATCCATCTAAATGAACTGACTTTAAAATGTCCTGCCATATAACTATACCACATTGCACAATAACAGAACATTATACTGCATCATGTCATTATAGTAAACATTTGCACATTGGTGGTTGGTGTAAATGTCTTCATTGGTGTTCAGGGGCAGAAGGGCCCTATTATATTGGTATTCACTGATCAGTCCCCAGTTATTAGTGTTTAGTGAAAGAATAATATTGATGTCATTGGGTGAAGGGACTCTATTTATTGGTGTCAGCAGGAAAAGGGCCCTCATTTACTTATTGTCAGTGGATGCTTTTCCTAAAACAGGAGTGTGACAGTTATACTGTCAGATTCTCATGTTTTATTAGAAACATGCACCATTCACATCATCCACTGTTGGAATTCTGACCTTCAAAAATTGTCTGTATTATTAACTTACAAACTCCACTCTGCCACGTCAGTCCGGCCCTGCTACACTTACCTGTGTAATTCCCTGTGTGTTTCCCTGCCAGCTGGTGTACAGTTACAAACCCACAGTATGCTATAAACATAATGCTCGCAAATGGTAAGTGCTCATTGATCTGCATAGTCATATGACCACCAAGGAGAAGGGATTCATACTTCTGGAACCTGGTCCCCGGCTCATTGGTCACGGTGGTCATGTAACCATATTGACCAATTAGTGCACACCATTTGCAAGCATTCTGCTCATTATGTGCTGCAGGGCTGTGAAGTGGGGTGTATGGTGTATGGACCATACCCTGGTTGGTGGGGACTCACACAGGTATGTGCAGCAGGGGCCTGTAGCGGCGGTGGGGGGGCTGTTGGGTAAGTTATTTTCTCACATTTGTTACCCTTTAGGTAGCAGCCTGCTTGGTCTTTGGTTCAGTTCAGAGTTCAGATTGCCTGCATGGTACATTCAATCAGATAAAGCAAGAGACATTGGCCCTCAGAAACATGACTTTCTCAGTATTCTTGGCAGTTTTGAAGTCATACAAGAGCTCAGAGCTGCCAATGCAGCATCTTTTTTTTGTTGTCCCTGGAGAGGGTGTGACAGATCGAATTCCACCCAATCAAAGGTTCTGACTGGTGGATGTTAGATGTGCTGGATAGAAATGAGTGAATATGCTTGGTTTGGTTCATGGGACGTTTATTAAACCCATGGTAAAGTCTGAAAATTGCAAACTTAAATCTAAACCCCATTTAAGTCTATGTACGGTGAATCTTAAAAATAATTTCTGGCCATGGTCAAGACTAAGAGCCAAGGCATTATCAAACAAGCTGCATTGGTAATTGGGGACTGCCATGGGGGACATGTACTAATGGCAAAAAAATGTAAACATTGTTCAGCATGGAGAATGTGACATTGGAAAAAACACTAATCCTTTCAATTATCTCCTTGGGAGACAATTAGGAAAACTGTTGATGGTGTTGTAGAACAATACAATCCTTATGCACATTGTCATTGACACCATATTCTGGCTTCACATACAGTATTTAGCATGTGTAATAGATTTGTTTACTTTAACATTATTGCTTGGCTTAAAAACACCATAAGCAGTATGCAAGCACCCCGTTCTAATTCTCTATAACCTAACAATTGTAGTTTTGGATGCAACACCCTATTTTTTTATCCAGCAGTATCAGGCCTGAATTGACTTGTGGGAGTAGCAGCAACACATCTACAACCTATAGAAAATTGTAATCTTAGAAACCATAAAGCTTAAGCCCTCAACTTCATACAAATTGTCCATTTACACAACAGTTTGATAGTACAATTTGTGAGCTCCTTTGTTCCCAGTACCACACTGCACTTGTCTTGAATGTTTAACCACTTCAAGACCAGGTGTTGTCTGAGCGGACGTCTAAAGACGCCCGCTCAGATCTAGAGAGCTCGGGCCGGCCGTGTTTTTACTACGGCCGGCCCGGAGGTGGTTAATAACATATCAAAACAGAGTGCACAAAAACACTTCAAAATCACAACAACACATTCCCTGAACAATCTCCCATCCCTGTATCCCTGATTATTCCAAGATATAAACTATAGACTTCAGGTATGTATTGAGTAGGCAGCAGAGTACTCTGCAGAGTGGCTCTCTTTTTACTGCATCTGCGCCAACAACAGGCACGCTGTGGTCTGCAGGCATTTTCGGACCCCATGCATGACTATGCATCAAAGAGCCTGGAAGCAGTGTCTCAATCATATCTATCCACACCAAAAGGGAGAGATGGGGCAGGTTCATTGTGAAATAAAAATTTGAAGTATTGTACAAACTACAGCCAGTGGTCCAGCCTGGACACCCAATAACTTCCGGGGTCCACTTCTTACTTTAAAGAGTGAATCATATGATTTATGTTCTTTTTTTCATTTGCAAATGCAGAACTTGCATAAGCTCTGCCCCTTCCTCCAGGCCTGCTTGATATTATGAATACAGGGGTTTGGTTAACTTTATTAGCAGCTAAGGTAAGAGAGGTATTTAGTATTTTCTGATTTGGTGTACTAAACTGTATTAAATGGGATGATGTGCTACAAAAAAAGAGCAGCTTTCCTGTGTGAAGAATAAGTTCACATTGCTGACCCTGAAAAAACACGACCCTAGCTAACATTATATTACAAAAAAATATAAATCCCTCACAAAAAAATCACAAAACTTAAACCGCTAAACTAAAACAAAAAAACACCAAAGAAAATGCAAGGGTGCCCAGCAGCTAAACAGTAACTGATGCTGATACTGGCACACACAACAAGGTATGCCTTCCTGCAAGCACTATGTGATTTCTCCCCATCTAATCCAAGTGTCTGCAATGCACACTGACTGTGACAATGTAGGACTTGTAGTAGTTTTCAGCAATCACCAGCGACAACTAGATATGCCCTGCAAACAATGTGTGATCGGTCCTTAACTAGTCCATGTCTCCTCCAAAACACACTGACAGAAGGCTGCAGAGAACTCTGATTAAGAAAACCCCAGTGTTGTCCTTTCCAAGACACCTAACCACAGTTCAGAAGCTTGGAGGTGCATTGTTGGTAAGTGAATGCTATAGACACGATTTGCAGCATAAGTTTGCCACTTTCTCAAACTGCACCCAACTTGGGTTCTGGTTGAACTCATTTTTAACCGGAACCTGAAGCTCATCCCTAGTGTTGGAAAGCATTTTATTATGCTCAGTTGGCACACTCTTAATGCTAACCATGTTAAATACATATATATTTTAATTTGACAAGGTTTCACAATCTGGCAACCAGTATATTGTTTAGCAAAATTACATCATGATTTGTTAGACACCAAATATGATATACAGTGGGTATAGAAAATAATCACATTATGTTGCTTTGCAGAGATACTCGTTGCTTCTTATACATTATACAAGTGTAACCACTTTGTATAAAGGTAACTCAGTAGAGTAAGAATTATGGCGATTGTATGGAACTTAACTCTGTGAAATTCAGTTGTAGGTCAGTATAGAAAAAAAATCTCTAGTATTACAGATGTGCATTGCTCACAGACCTCATTAGATGTCTTTTGAAGACCCTCTGGGGAGGTTTATGACCCTGCATTCTTTTCTAGCTGGCCTGTCATGTCAAATGCATCACTGTCTCTGGCTGCCTAGCACAGACATAATATTTAAATCTGTTTTTGTTACCAACTTGCACATTCTGGGCTTCAATTAGGATGACACTGTGTTCAGTATAAGTCACCTATTCTCGCCACTTAGTTTGGGGTTCATCAGACCTCACTCTAGTCAAAAGAAGTGTCTCTGGTTATGCTGATTCCTACATCTAAAAGTAGGAGCAAGTGATCTGGGAAGCATAACGTTTTTTACATTTTCCAGATAATTTCTCTTTTAAAAAACATAAACACATGTATGTGAATGTAAAATTACAGTCATTAGCTTCATGAAATAGCTCCTTTTAAACAGATAAACAAATCCAAAAATGGCAAAGGTGGCATTTGAGCATTATTTATTCAGCCTGTATTTTAGGTTAAAGAGCAATGTATAATTATGAAATTTTAGTCCGCTTTGAACGCGAGTTGTTAAGTTTTACATTGCCTTACAGCTATGGCAACTCTAGAATATTTCCCTACACTTAACTAGCCAAGCAAAACTTTATTTCTTGACCTTTATCGTCTATCCACCCAGGGTAACAATTGTGTCATGTTTGACCAAGTTATCACCCAGTAGTGCCATAATTATGCAGACAAGGTTAGTCTATACAGCAAGCTTTTACAAAGTTTTTCAGGAAGCTTAAAGCATCTTTCTTTAAAGCATCCTTCAGCTCCAGTTAGAATGTTAAACACAGATCCTAACGGGAGTGCTTTAAACAAGCAGATAGGAGGCTTCAGCAAGTTTTTGTTAAGCATTATTGCAACTTTAGATATCTAACATCCCCAAATTTAAGCTTAAAATTACTTTACCGGCTTTTCTAAAGCTGCCTGAAACTCGCTGAGAGCTTTGCAAATGCTTTATAAATGTTTGCTGCACACATTCCATTTATACAACCTTTATAGATCATTGGTTCGATCCTTGGCCACTTTATAGATCATTGGTTCGACCTCATCTGGAGTACGCGGTCCAGTTCTGGTCACCAGTACTAAGAAAAGATGTCCTTGAGTTAGAAAAAGTCCAGCGGAGGGCAACCAAACTAATTAGGGGTATGGAGGACCAGAGCTACGAGACAAGGCTACTAAATTTAAACATGTTCACATTGGAGGTGAGGAGATTAAGGGGGGATATGATCTCCATGTACAAAATGTTCAATGGTGGTAGCAACATTAGCGATAAACTGTTTAAAATTAACTCCATTACAAAAACTAGAGGCCACCACCTAAAATTGGTGGAAAAAAAATTCCAGCACAAGGGGCGAAGGGGGTTCTTCACAGTAAGATCAGTTAGGGTCTGGAACTCACTGCCACAGGCAGTGATTTCAGCAAATAATGTGGAATTGTTCAAGAAACTTTTGGACGATTTCTTAAGGGACCGTAATATACAGGGGTGCAGGTACTCCTAGAATGAGATCCTAATAGGTTGGACTTGATGGACTAATGTCTTTATTCAACCTCAAATACTATGTAACTATGTAACAACCTGCAGCCCATATGTACACAGCCTAAGGGCCAATTGATACCTATGCATCGCAGTAACACGCATTCAAATGTGCTGCTTTCAGAAAACGAACGTTCGTACGAACGCTACCGAATTTCGTCCGAATCCGAATTCCGAATCCGAATTGACTTTCACACCCGAATTCTGAAAAAGGAATAACACAAATCCGAATTTAAAACGAAACGAAACTAAACGAATTTTTTGGCAGTGCACATGTCTACTGTTCGGCTATTCACTTCAGGCTGATACAGCTGTTTTCAGCCGTACATCTGACACTGACCATGTGAGATATGTGCTGTTCCATAACACTACATACAGCTTAATGGCATTTCGCAAAATGTAATTAAAGCATTGGTATTTTTCCATGTCCTTTGTTTAAGAATCCCTTACCTAGAAAATGGCCAGAATTGATTTTCAAGACCCCCCCCATGGACATAAGTGGGTAATAGATTTAAGTTTACAATTGTTCGACTTTACAATAGGTTTGATGAACGCCCAGCAAACCAAAGGCAAACTGCTGCAGCAATGAAAATAGTATTTGAGGGTATAAAAAAAAAAAAAAGATAAATATTCAGCTTACCATTGAACAAAACTTTCTGCGAACCACTGTGTATACATGACTTAAGCGGGACACATACACAGACAGGTTGGGGTGTATTTATAAACAATTTGCCATAAACAATGTGCCATAATATAGCCATATCTGAAGCTATATTGCAACTGTAATAAATATCAAGGCAAACCAGGCACAATAATTATGTGTTTCTATTGCCTGCTAACAAATCTTTCATGAAGGTGTTTTTAAACACATCAACAGCTACTGCTCCTTAATAGAAGACATAATTACACTGATGCTAATAAACTGTAAGTTAATTGTAGGAATGAACTCTAAAATGATTTGTAGAAAAGAGTATCATAAGAAGTACAGGATCAAATAGTATTATGTTATATTGACACACCTCCTGGCTGTAATCCATATCTCATTACTTAGTGAACCATCGACTGCTTCCATTGTGAAAGCTACATGTGATAAATTGGGTACAGACTAAGTGTTGTTCTTCTACCGATGAAAACAAACATGACAAAATGTATTCAAGGGCTTTCTGAGATAAGCCACAGTTTTTTGTTTTTTTGTCCATTAAAGGTTGCTCTGTAAAAATATATGCATATCATAGAATTCATTTTGCACAATGTTCTCCATCTCTGCAGTCATTGTAATTACAGCTTTATTTTAACAAGCATTAATACAGCAGGACCAGGAGTTATGGAAAACTGTTTATTTAATAAAGGTTTAGCGAGGCCCATGAATCTATCAAAACCTTAAAATGTAAATGTAAGCACCATGACGTACATTATGTGCGAGGTACAAGACTTAATGAACAATTAATTGTTAATATGCAATACCAATATTATGTAGCAACATTGTAAAAACTGCTTATTTCTAAAAAGCTAAAGTTAAATCATGTGCTTTTCACAGAAAAAAAGCAATACACACAAAAAAGGAAACAGTCTTTTTTTCAAAATACCTTTCCACTGCAATTGCCACTAGGGTGAAGACAGATGCAGAGACAGACATTCCTTGCACAAGACCACTCATTTTGCACATGATGTTATCAAAAGGCCACCCTATAAGACAAAAACAAAGAAAATCCTATTATATTTTGCAAAACTTCATATTTTCATTGAAGGTATGTTGGGAGATATACAGACTCACTCTAAGTACTTTGCTCTTGCGGTCTCCTCCATAGTACACCATACTAGTAGAGTGTTCAGACTGGGGGTCTCACGATGTTTGACCCCAAATTGTCTATGCTGGTTAGCATTTTATCTACTATGCATCAAATTATCATTACTATGTTTATATTTACCATGCCTATTTCTTGAAATTGTTCTGCTATTTAAACCAAAGAAATTCCTATATGTTTATAGTTTTTTTGCTTAACTTCAAGTCAGACACCACCATGAAAAACCAACAAAGTGCTTAGAAATATTACATACTATTACAAGAAATATTCTTTACTGTAATTTTTCTACACAAAGCCTTTCTATTCCGAATTCATGACATTTCAAAGAATGTCAGGCACTACTATTAAAACATAAAAATTAAATGTAGCCAATTCCATGTAAAAGGCATTTTGCCTATAGGGAAAAATGTATATTCATATTTCTTATGTCCAGTTATCCAGTATGTTGTAAAATGCATCATTACTGTGAAATTCAAGGTTTTATATTTTGAATCACTTCCAGTTTCTTCCATTTACAGCCCAGGCCAAGCGGCAGGCTCGTCGGCCATGTCGGGTCCCGGTCTGAGTGGCTCGTCGGTCATGTCGGGTGCCATCCCGCGGGACATGCCGTGTCCTGATCCGAGCCTCTGTGCAGGGACGCACACGGAGGGGGCATTCTGTCGGCACCGCTGGGCCGCACAGGCGCAGACACCCTGTGACCCGGTGGGATCCGCCCCGCACGGCGTGACGTCATCGTGCTGGCGTGCGCGGGTGACGTCATCATGCCGGCGCACGCGCAGTGCAACGTCCTCGGCCTATTTAAAGCCCCACAGGACTTGGATTCAGTGCTGAGTGATTGTCAGCCAGCACTAGTCATCTGTGATCTTGCTCCTGTATTGAATCTTTTTACCTGGCTTCCTCCCTGATGTTCCCTCTTGATTATCCTGCTGTACCTTGCTGCCCGCCTGTTACCGACCCGGCCTGCCTCTCGACTCTCCATTGGATCCTGCCTTGTACCTTGCTGCCCGCCTGTTACCGACCCGGCTTGTCTTCTAACTGTCCAGGAGTGCCTCCTCCACACGGCTGCCTACTCTGCTGAGCCACCACCTGCTGCATGTACCCGGTGTCCTGATCCAGCACCCGTGCACCCCCTGCCTGAGCACACTGTCTTCAATCCCAGTGGTCATCAGACGGGGTTGCAAGGGATGTCCTCCTCATCACCTCGGGCTCACACCACGGACCTAACAATGTGGCTACTGTATGCAGAAGCTTATGTGAGAAAGGTCAATGTATCCACTGGCATGCTTCCAATTCTAATGACATTAACAGAGCATGTGGTGGGGACTACATAGTAGACAGACCATGTTTTCCTAAATCCCTCCCCTAGACCAGTGTGCACCATCAAAAGAATTAACACAGCAATTTATTTAAAAAAATGTAATTTTCTAGATGGCTATAGTTCAGTTTTACAGTGATCCTTCCCCAGATACACATAGTTACCATTACTTCATTCCCCCACTGCTACATTTAGCTGTCATGATTAAAAAAAAAGTCCCTATAGACAGTCACATCGCTTGAACTTAGACAGAGCTGAGGACTCTCCCTGCCACTGTGTGACAGTGCTCAGCTCTGCTAGTGATTTCATTTAGAAGAACAGCTTATTACACCGGGAGCGAAGTCTAGAAATAGTACCTGACATACCTATCGTATGTATTAATGAGGCTGAAATATATTATGACTTCTTTAAATTGGAGCATGTGACCAGGTCGCCGATGCTTGCAGAAATCTGCAAGAGGTGCGTTGCTGAGACCTAGCCAGTCCTCCAGGCAATGCAGAGCGGGTGGAACTGTTACTCAAGCATGTGATCCACCGTGCAGGTGTTGCTGCCTGTGATGTGGCATGAGTGTACATGGCTTATTAGTAAGAAGAAGTAAAGCATGTGCACTGTGGTGGCAATGCTGCAAAGGCTCGATGACACTACCGAATGTTGCCACTGAGGTGAAGGTCAAGTACAAGTGACTGTTAGAATCAAAAGGTAAATTCTCTAAAATAAAACATTTATTGAAAAAAACACAAAGGGCATAGAGAGGTTAAAATATTATTAAAAAGGATTTGCCGTTTTTTTATATCCACTTTAAATCAGCTGCAAAGGAGGAACATTTGAAGAAAGACAGGTGTTTACAGATGTGCTGTCCAAAATCTTTTGCAAAATCACAAAGAAACAGGCAACACTTAGAACCAAAAATGCAGTGACCAGCCAAGGAAATTGTGTAACAGATTAAAAACACATCATGGTGACTGCATTTTGCAATTGGAAAATATCTAGTGGTACCATCAGGTCAGACTATGCAAAAACGAGTGGGACCCTGGAACACCCATCTCAGTGCAGAAGTGGTCTTCATGGAAAACTTGTGGCTAAAAACCAGACCCCTGACGTGAAGGCCAAGTGACTCACCTATGCACAAAAGCATAAAAGTCCACATCTGAAATATTTGTTTGTCTTCTCGTTACTGAAAAGTATAGGAAGAGACCTATTGATCATGCTATGCCATCATGGAGGCATCGGATAGGTCGCAAATAGTTTCTGCAGCAGGACAACGACCCCAAACATGCAAAAGAACTAAAGAAGCAAAAGAAGAACCAGGAATCCTGAAAGACATGGGTTAACCCCCACAGAGTCCTGATATCAACCTTATTGAGTCTGTCTGGGATTACAGAATCAGAGTTAGCCTAAATCCAAAGACAAATTGTGGGCAGCTTTCTTATATGTTTGGAACAACCTACCTGCAGCGTTTCTTTTAAAAAAACATGGGCAAGTGTACCTAGGAGAATCAATGCTGTTTTAAAGGGGACACACACCAAAGGTTGTTAGTTGGTAAATAAACATTATTCATTATTTTTTTCAAGCATCCTTACTTTACAACATTTTTTCACACCAAAATAAATAACTATATAAATGAATAAATAAATATATATTCTCTATATAATCTCCCTAACAGGGACACAGGCAATCAAAACCTGACAGTGGTTCTAACTCCTCACCACTCCATCCAAATCTAGAGAAAAAAAAAATATGCTTTTAGTTATGCTTTAACATTATATGTGACAATCCTGATGTGTTAAAATTGTGTAGTTAACCTGTATAATTATCTTACAAACAGTTTTCTAATTTGTTGGTACTAAAATGACCTTTTGCTTTTACCCTGCAGCATTCATTAAATGCTAAATGCAGGTTTGTCTTTTATTATACCATGGAAGAATCCTTGTTTTCAGTAATTGGTCTCCTTTGCAATACAGAGTTGTTGTCAGTATAAATCTAAAGTAAAATATGGCATCCCGGGCAGGTCATTATATGGAAATGTGTTAGTTGAACGTTCCAGTGTAGTAAAATGTACTAATGAAGCAGGTCTTTTATATTTAACCCTGTTATGTCTGGTGTCCCTAAATGCTGCATTTGGTACATAGGTTTACTGAAACTCTGTTTCACCTAGTGCTAATGTAAAATAGTGCAGGAGCTGGAATAGCTCATTCAAATCAGGAAAAAATTATTTAATTATGTATATCCTCCTATTTGGAAGTCCATTTGAACAAATTCAGGAAGTGCACTCGACCAGGGGTAGGTAGACATCTGTAATAAAGCCAGCAAAAGTCTTTGTGGTGTATTATAATGTCATAATTTTCTTTGAGAAGCTATTGCTGCATAACTCCTGTGTTTTTTTTGTTTTAAAAACATTGAAGAATATTGTGTATTTTTCAAACATTTCCTTACTTTTGAAATGACTACGTTTTTGTTTTAAGCTGGCCATACAAGTATAGATTTTCGAGCCCTCGTTCAATTTTTGCTCAATTAGCCCATCATGCAGGAGTTCTGACGAAGGGAGCGTGCCCCGGAAATGCGTTAACGTCACCAGCATACAGGAATCGTCCAGTGGATGCACACTGCCTGTCAGCTTATGATTCTTCTTACGTTTGTGAGTATGTTTTTTGTTCTTATCTCATGCTTACTGAAATAAAATTGACCTGCACCAGGAAAGGCACCCCCTTGTGTTTACTTCATAGCCCATCATGCAGAGACCAATGTCAATTTCGATAATTGCTCATTAGCAATACTTACTCACCAAAACGAATTTTCACATGTGCAGTGTTCTTGTTGCAATTTTTTTGTATGAAAATACCACGAATCCATTGATTTTAGCTCGATTTGTAAAGTTTTACAGCCTGTCCGATCAAGGAAATTCAGCCAGGAATACAGTAAAAAAAAAATTGTTGGGTTCCCATCAACTGATCAATTATCGTTCGAAAGACCATTCGTGGACGATTTCCAAGCGAAGATCTATAGATGTATGGGAACCTTTAGAAAAGCACTTTAAAAAAAAATAAGGGTACACTTATTTTCATAGCTTCTGTGGACCTGTGCCTGTTATAATATTATCGTTCGCCAATCTTCTGCATGATGGTATTTTCTCGGGATGACCCGATACTGATACAAGCATCGGTATCGGGACCGATACAGGGCATTTTGACAAGTACTTGTACTTGTCAAAATCCCCCGATACATAGCGCTATTTTTTTCTTTACTGACTTTGCCGAGTGTCGCGTCACTGCTGCTCCGGTGGGCCGCGCTCCAGGTGGGGTCCTAATTTAGGTGGCTGACGACTGCCCAGAGGACCCCTCTCGGAGCACCACCCACCGGAGCAGCACTGATGTGACGCTCCTATTCAGCTCAGCGCTGACGGCGCTCTTCAGTGCCGGAGAGCAGCGGCGAATCAGCACTGGTCCGGTGGGAGGAGCTCCAGGTGAGGTCCTAATTTAGCTGGCCGCCACCTCTGAGCAGTCGCCGGGCAGCTAAATTAGGACCCCACCTGGAGCTCCTCCCACCGGACCAGCGCTGACTCGTCGCTG